ATAAGCGTAGAGGTGTTTGAGATGTTAGGGAGACTCGAGATTGGTAATTAATTTGTTTATGGTCGTGGTTGTCGCCGAATCCTATGGAGCGTGTCTATGTTTGATTGCATAATGTGATGAAGAGCATGACTATGAATGTTTCATGATTGTTTGTTAAGCATGATGTTTGTGTGTTGTTGGTGAGGGCTACTTACGGAGTATATTTTATATACTCACCCCCCTCTACAATTGTTGTTTCAGGCGGAGGATTCGTTGGCGACCATGGTGATGAAGTGGAGGAGACATGACGAGTGAGGACCATAGGCTGCGTAGTTACTTTTGCTTAGCTTAGGTTTAGATGGTTAAAACTTTATGGTTTGGACAATAAACTATTTATTCTTATTTGAATAATTGGGAGGTTCCCACTCGTTGTCTACTTTATTTCGGAATAGATGTCTATTTTAGTTTTCTTCCATTCATTGAGTTTGCCTAGTTGGAATAATAAAGTTGCCTCATGAGGTTGTCCACGGATGATGTTTGATTTATATTCTATAGAGTTGATTCATTGGTAAATTGATGAGAGTTGAAGCTTTATTTTATATAATTATTTCACAGGGAGTTGTCATCTCGTGTTTGGCGTTAAGTTTAGACAGGTGGGTAGTTAACGTGACCTAGAAGTGTGTGGGAAGTTCTGGGGCGTTACAATTGGTATCAGAGTGGAGTTGTTCCTGTAGACTGTCCTAGAATCTAGGTCGATAGTGTATGGTCCTTGTCAGTCTCCTCATCATCACCAGGTACGTTTCCTAGTTCAGTTTGTTCGATCATGAATGCCTTACATTGCTTATGGTTGAGATATCATTGTTGTCTGATATTAGATAAGTTATCGTGTTTCCTTGGTTCATTATATAGACTTGATTGAACTTTGCACTTGTGTTGTGCCCCGGTTAGTGCGATAATGACCTTGGTGCTCTGTTCTTTTATACAATGGCTTTCCGGCGGAACACGAGAGCTCACAACTATGATGATCCGAATCCTAGGGGTGAGGGAGCAGCGGACCCAAATGTTCCCCTGATAGTTCCTGGAAGGGTAGCACCTCCGGTCCCTCAGGCAGCTCCTCAGGGAGTTCCCCAGGTGAATCCCCAGGTGGCGTTGCTAGCTGAGGCATTGCAAGTACTACTAGATAATGCAAATGGAGCCGGTGGAGCTCAAGTGCAGCAGCCTCGCCGGGCACAAATTCCGCAAGATGAGGTTCAGTTTATCAGGGATTTCAAACGCTTTGGGCCACCCGTTTTCAACGGGGTGAGTGAGAGGCCTACTGCGACCGAGGAATGGGTTAGGGAGCTGGAAGCCCTTTATGTGTATTTGGGATGCTCTGACGATTTCAAGGTCCGGGGTGCAGTTTTTATGCTTCGGGGAGAAGCAGTAAATTGGTGGGAGTCGGTGGCGGCAGCGGAGGATCACACCAACGTACCCGTCACGTGGGCAAGATTTAAGGACCTACTTTATGAGTACTATTTCCCCGTGACTGTCAGGAATGAAAAACGGGCAGAGTTTCTCCGTCTCACTCAAGGGAGCCTAACCGTGGCCCAATACGAAAGGAAGTTCACTGAGCTGTCCCGTTTTGGAATGCAATATATTCCTACTGAGCAATTAAAGATTGATAAGTTCATCGACGGTTTGCGTATGGAGATCAAGGGGCTACTTGTTGTCAAGGAACCAACTACATACGCAGCAGCAATCAGGTGTGCGTTGGTTATGGACAAATGTCTCGAGGAGCCTCAGTCTCAGCAGGTAATGGGCTCCAGCTCGGGGGTCAAGAGGAAATTTGCATTGTTCTCCTCCAGTCAATCCTCAAGAGGACACCAACACCATGTGCAAAGGCAGACTGCTCCTCCGGTGTGCCCCTCTTGTAAGAAGAACCATGCTGGGCCATGTTGGTTAGGAAAAAGAATATGTTTCAGGTGCCAGAAGACCCCTGCGGCAGCTGCAGCTCAAGGTGGAACCCAGAGGGCGCGCGTCTTCGCTCTCACCAGGGGGGATGTTGAGCATGCCGAGGCGGTGGTCACAGGTACCTTCTCTTTGTGAGTCTTGAGTTGTGTGTATATGCTTGTGCTTTATTGCATGCGTGTTACTTTTGCAGGGACTATTTTAGTGATTAGTATGCCTGCTTACGCATTATTTGACTCTGGATCTAGTCATTCTTTCATTGCTTCTACCTTTGTTCGACATGCGGACCTAGAGCTAGAATCGTTAGGCTTTTTGTTGTCGGTATCCACACCATCAGGATCTGTGTTGGTTATTAGCCAAGTGGTGAAAGGAGGCCAGCTCTCCTTTGATGGTCAGACCTTCGAGGTAAAGTTAATTCAACTGGATATGCAGGATTTCGATGTGATACTAGGCATGGATTGGTTAGCTGCTAACCGGGCTAATATTAATTGCTCGAAGAAGGAAGTTAGTTTTCGCTTGCCCTCCGGACAAAACTTTACCTTTAAAAGAGTTAAGGTCGGGGTTCCAAGGGTGGTGTCGGCATTGAAGGCCAACTATCTTCTCCAGCGTGGTGCTTGGGCCTATTTGGCTAGCGTTGTGGATGCAAGGAAGGTTGTGCCAAGCATTGAGGCGGTTCGTGTGGTTAATGAGTTCACTGACGTGTTCCCTTAGGACCTCCCCGGCTTGCCTCCGTTTCGCTAAGTGGACTTTTGTATAGAGTTGCTGCCAGGGACGGCCCCGATCTCGGAAGCACCATATCGAATGGCTCCGGCAGAGTTGATAGAGTTGAAGATACAGTTAAAAGAATTACTCGACAAGGGTTTCATCCGCCCAAGCGTGGCCCCTTGGGGTGCGCCCGTGCTCTTTGTTAAGAAGAAAGACGGTTCTATGCGACTTTGTATAGACTACAGGGAACTAAACAAAGTTACGGTTAAGAATA